CAGTTACATTTACATGTGTGACGACCCCAATTTTACCCAAAGAAATTGTTTTAATTCATTTCAAATTGTTACTAATTAAACAAGGTCAACTGTAATAAAGGGTTAACTGCTTACTAAACCTAAAAAAACAGCCCCTCCGTCTCACGCGGAGCGTTGACATATCTGCTAGTTATTATTATTATTGATATTATTATTATTATTATTATTATTATTATTATTATTATAAGATTTTTTTTAATATAAATCAAATTCCAAAACACCATCTTCTCACCAGTAAAATTAAATTTAAACAAGGTTAATTCTGAGGAGGCGATGTATGTGTGTGTTGTCAAGGGGGACTAAAAGAAATTCTATGCATTAGGAAAACTCCGTTGGACATCCCTAATTTGTTGTCATGTGTTGCTATTCATCGCCAATTTGTTGTTAATTCTACGCCAATCTATCTTGTATTCACAGCTAATCTGTCGCATTATACCCATGAAGCTATTTGAGAGAGGGATGCCTAATGGAATGAAAGAGTGAAATGATTGAAAGGAAATAGTTGGTAGTCTGGTTGAAATCTCACTCTCTAACATAATTAGCGACAATATATTAGGTACCAAATATAATTGTAGCATTAATGATTTTATATATATATATATATATATATATATATATATATATATAGGGTGAGGTTCAATAGAGAAATATAATTAACCAAATAACCAATGAACTAACCGTGAGCGTCGCAAATTACAACATCAACGGCTAATGAAATAGATGTACACTTTTATATTGAACGCACATACACTGGATTATACCAATAAATCCATCATTTACAAAAAAAAAAAAAAAAAAAAAAAAAAAAACCCACAATTTTTTTTCGTTAAAATTTATTTTAGGTCATGTTTTATATCGAAAAAAAAACGTCATACCGTTGTTCACGATTTTTCGTCCTCTTTCCATAGAAATCCATGATGACATATAAAAAACAATTTTTTTTTTTTTTTTTTGAAGAAAACTCCATTTTTTTGATGAAAAAAATTAAGATCTATTTTTTATAGAAAAAAAATTAACAAATATATCAAAATTCATTTTTTTTTTTTTTGTAATTTTTAAAAATAGACTCATATTCATGTTAAAAAAAGATGCTTCAGTTTAGATTCATATTGTAAATATGTTCACACTAGATGTGAGACCCGTATATTACACGGGTTTATAAAAAAAATTTAATATAAAATTATAAGTATTACATATTTTTTAAAGTAATAATTTTACATTAATACAAAGATATAATAAATAATGTAAATAATAAAGGTTGTAGAGCATTTATTATGAAATTTAATAGAAGGATCTACTTTACATATATAAATCTCATTAAAATGTGAATTTTAAATTTAAAAAAAATAAAAATTTAAGAAAATGACAAGTGGAAAAGAAATAATTCAAAAAACTCTTAGAAAATGACATGTGTCAAATTTAATGAGAGCATGACATTTGGCAAAACTGATTTTCATTTATTAGGTTAGATTCACATTGTGAACCTCCTCAGATTCACAGTGTGCATAATAATAATTCAGATTCATAGTGTGAATCTGAACTGATCGGAGCTTTTTCACATTGTGAATGTTAAAATTTGAAATATTTACAGTTTAGATTCACAGTGTGAATCTACACTGATCTAGTTTTTTTTTTTTTTTTTTTTTTTTTTTTTTTTTTTTTTTTGTGAACTTTCTCAGATTCATAGTGTACATAATAATAATTCAAATTCAGAATGTGAATCTGAACTGTTCGGGATTTTTTATATTGTAAATGTTAAAATTTGAAATATTTACAATTTAAATTGACAGTGTGAATCTGCACTATTCGAAGTTTTTTTTTCTTAATCGTTGTTGATGTTTATTAATAGAGTACAATAAATTAATATTTTTGGTATAATTAGTTTTTTTATATAAAAATAAACTTAAATATTGAAAAAACTAAGAAAATTAAGTAGGTTTTTTTTCAAAAAAAAAATTGTTTTTTTATATATCATCATGGATCTCTATGGAAAAAAAAAAAACGTAAAATTGTGAACAACGGTATATTTGGTTTTTTTTTTTCCGATAAAAAACTTAGTCTAAATAAAATTTAAATGATAAAAGGAAGTGAAGTTTATTATAATCCGGTACATGTACATGCATTACAAAAGTTTACAATCCTTCCTTTTACAGTTGATCGCTTTAAATTCCGACGCTTTAGATTGTTTCCTTGATCTTGACTCTCTCTCTCTCTCTCTCTCTCTCTATATATATATATATATATATATATATATATATATATATATATATATATATATATATATATATCTCTCTGTGTATATATATATATATATATATATATATATATATATCAAATAATAAGGAAATTTTTGGTAGGAAGGTAAGAAGTTTTTTTCTACACATTTTTTTTCGTGGACAAACAAAATGAATCATTAGATGATTCATTTGTAAGATGATTCACAAGAAAAAATTCTCAAAAAACATCTCGACGATTCATTTATATAATGATTTTGTTGTTATTAACTAAATTTGTCAAAAAAGTGAATTTTTTCTTAATTTACTTAAAAATGAATCATAAATATGTTTTTTTGGGGAATTTTTCTTGTAAATCATCTTACAAATGAATCATTTAGTGATTCATTTTTTTTGTTCGTCAAAAAAATATGTAGAAAAAAAAAACTTCTTACATTCCTACCAAAAAAAATTTCTTACCGGATCTATATCATATATATATATATATATATGTGTGTGTGTGTGTGTGTGTGTAAGGTATTTTTTAGAAAAAGTTTATATATGTAATGTATTCAATACATTAAACCTCATTAATTTTAATAATTCAAAAATTTTCTTATTTTTCTTATAAATTCAAATTTTTCAAATTGTTAAAATTTTATATTTAATTTTTTTAAAATAAATTAATGTAATACATGAGTCACACACCTAGTGTGTGTGTGTGTGTGTGTATATATATATATATATATATATATATACTATCTTATAAAAGAAATCTAACTATTTTTAAAAATAGATTGATTATAATAATAATATTTTTTAAGACGTCCAAATGATGAAGCTGATACTACAAGTAATCATTAATAAAATAATATTAAATTTTAACCACGTTTTGAATTCAAATATTTATCATCAAGTCTCCTTATATTTCTCAGCAATTTGATATGGTTCCCTCAAATCCCGGATTCATTCAAATTTTGAACCCTTTTATATATCCTTAAATTTAGCATGTTGATTCAAATATCCCTCCAATCGCATATACCTCTTTGTTCTCTCCTCTGCTATAAAACCCACCGTCCAGGAACAAAAAATGACTTTATCTCCCAAATAACACCATAGTTTGATTATTTTGTCTTCGATATGTACTTTCTTTTGTAACATAACATTTTTGTAGAGGAACACGCTCCGCCGCTTTGCGCGGGCACACTGCTAGGTTTATGTTCATATATATATATATATATATATATATATATATATATATATATATATATATATATATATATATATATATATATATATATATATATAGGTTTAGGTTCATGTGACACGGCCTAATTTTGTGAGACCGTGAGACGCAGTTTTTATTTTATTTTTTTATACTTAATTCAAGTTCCGAAAATAATATTTAAAAAAAGAATTTTTGGATTTTTCCATTTATTTTGCATTTTAAAATTATTTTTTAGAATATGTACAGTGTAATATTATATTAGAATATTTCACGTATTTTTCAAAAAAATAGAATTTTTTTTTATTTTTTTCTTTTTTTTAGTTAATTCAAGTTCCGTAAATAATATTTAAAAAAAGAATTTTTAGATTTTTCCATTTATTTTGCATTTTAAAATTATTTTTTAGAATATGTCAGTGTAATATTCTATTAGAATATTTCGTGTATTTTTAAAAAAAAAACGGGATTTTTAATTTATTTTATTTATTTATTTTTATTTTTTTTAGTTAATTCAAGTTCCAAAAATAATATTTTAAAAAAATGGATTTTTTCTATTTATTTTGCATTTTAAAATTATTTTTAGATTTGATCTCACGGTCTCACAAAATTAGAATGGTCTCAAATAATCCTGAACCTATATATATATATATATATATATATATATATATATATATATATATATATATATATATATGGACGCATTTATACGTTTGCTAAAATCAACAGATTAATCTTGTATTAAAACATAAAGAAGTTAATAAATAATTACATTTTAAAACTAACACTTGAATTATCCATGATAAGATATTTGATATAAAATTTATGAGTGAGAATCATTTAAATACGAAAATCATGGAGAAAGAAAAATTCTAAACAAAAACAATAACTAGATTAGGGAAAGCCGTGGAGGTGTTATTGTTCAGGAAAATCATGGAGAAAGAAAACTTCTAAACAAGAAAGTCGTGGAGGTCTTGTTATTGTTCATTTTGGTGTGCTGGTGGTCTTCTTTGTATTATGTTCGGTGGATATTATTAAAAATACTGATGATTTTTTTTATTAAAAGTAGGGTAAATTACACCAATCGTTCCTCATGTATATACCGAAAAGCACGTTCAGTCTTTATTTTCAAAAATTAACTCGGACCGTCTCTCGTTTGGCTTAACTTGCACGGTTAATCCCTCGTTAGTTTAAATTTGCACGATTCATCCTTTGCCTCACATAAAATGACTATATTGCCCTTGTTTTTTTATTTTGTATTAATAAGAAAAACAAAAAATAAACTTTAATCGTATATTTTTACATTTATTAATAATTTCTAAACATTTACCTATCACCCCCACCCTATTACCAAGAAATACCCAAACTCTCCGATCGCATTGTTCCCCGTCCCTCGCCTCCCTTTGAAACTAAAATCCGGCCACCGGAGATACAACGACTACCAGAAACCCGCTTGATCGCCGCCATGGACTACCACCTCATTTTCCTTCCTATGTTCATGTCGTAAATAACATCACCACCGACGATTATTGATTTAACACATCCACCATCGACCTTCTTCCTCCTCCTTCTCTTGATTTTTCCAATACGAAAATCTCCACCACATTCCGCCCAATCTTCTCCAGATACTTAGATTTATGCTCTTTCGTATACCCAATTCCACTGCTAGAAATCACCACTTTCTCCACCATCTTCTCCTCCATCTCCGCCATCCAGTACACCACAAACCTCTGTAACTAATTATATACACCAAAATTCCATTAACCCCTAATTTCTTCATTCTATTACACACACAAACAAACACACACTTCACCTGAAACACCTCTGTAAGCTCTGTCCTTATCAAGTATGATTTGGTGAAAAACACCAGATCTGGTGTAGTGAAATCGTGTGTCAATAGAGGTACGTGCAATATGAATTACCACTTGAGTTACCTCCGTAGCCATGGATGAGAATGAGGTTTAGTTTGTTCCAGTGGTGGCAGTTTTCCGCTCATATGTGGTTGCCCTCTCCTTTTTCTTCTTCTCCGATAAGCTTAATTTGTCCCCATTTTAGATCATATCGCCTTCCTTCTCCGGCGTTATGGGTCCCAAATCGAAACAAAATATCAGTATATAAGTCGTTCCTCTCTAACCCTTGTGACCTAAACGGGTAAAACCTAGTAGAAAGTTGCAGATTAACCCTCGCATCTTCATCGTTTCTGGTTTCAAGTTGTAGATTTGTTAAGTTGCAGGACTTCTAGTTTCAAACAATTGAATTTTTTTTTTTCTGGTTTCTCCTTCTTCAAGTGACGACGATCAGTGTCGGTGGTGATGGTAGATGGTGGAGATGAGATGGAATGAAGAAGAATATAGGGGAAGAGACGGGTTATGAAGGTGTTTAGGTTTAGGTTCTATTTTTTTTAAAAGGCAATAAATAATTGTTTTTATAATAAATAAATAATAAATAACAAATAAATACAAAATAAATCAAAAATAAATAAATAAGGGTAAAATGGTCTTTTTATATGCAGAGGGACTAACCATGCAAGAAAAAACACACTTAGGGATGGTCCGAGTTAAATTTTAAAAATAGGGACTGAACGTGTTTTTTGGCATATGCACGAGGGACGATTGGAGTAATTTACCCCTTAAAAGTAATAAAGTTGTTTTTTATGTTTTTTAAAATCAGACCATTATATTCTTAATGGATCATTTTAGTTTTGTTCTTGATATTTCAGACAAAAAAAAATATTTAATTTGTATAATTTTTGTTTTAAACAACACTCTTTTCTTTTATTTATCTAAAATAGTACATTTTGATTTTATATTTATAATAAAATCAAGTCAATACATATCAACAGAAGATAAACGGCCAACAAGCTATGTAGCTAGCTCTCTTTGGATGATAGGATTAATATATTTAATAAAAACAAAATTTATAGATCTAGGATATACAACATTAGAATGAATGATTCATTAGACTCTGTTGCGGAGCTTGCCTCTAGTTCGAGAAAACCGAAGGTATCAAAGACAAAAAAAAATATAACTTTTTCTATACATGCATTCTCGTGATTTGCCATTTTGCACGCAACGACTTTCAAAACGGCATTCTCTACTGTGAAACCCCTGTTCCTAAAACCGATGAGAAGGGAGACCACAGTAAGATCCACATAATCATGCTTCCCTCATACCCATTCAAAGACCAAAATGTCAGTCGGTCTGAGTGTGGATCTTCCATCCAGCGAGTCCGTCAAAAAGTTTGTGGACGCTTCTTTCTTCACGAAAATATTAGCACACTGACAAGCATCAAAGATAACATCCTTAACTACATCATGTCAGTCCTTGAAACCAATGATCTCTCTACAATAAACCACATGTTGCCCAAAAGTGTCCAACCATGCCTTGCGGCAAACTGGACATATCTCGTCAATCGGTAATAGAAGAATCATGAGGCGGTAACGAATGATAATTCGGTACTACATAGGAGACATATGTTGTCCGAGGCCATCAATAGGGATAGTTACCAGAAAATTCTGAGTACGAGGTGTCCAAATACACTTAAAAACTGCTTTCTGTCTAACAGTCATGTCAAAATCGACTTTCATATCTTTGACGATTTTGCTAAAAAAGGCACACGCCAATGCTTTTTGGGATTTAGAGGGGGCGATGTCCTTATTAATGAAACTGCTATAGTCGAATCACAGAATTGTATCGCGAAGATGAGTTAAAGCGCAAAGGTAATCATAGTTCATACCACATATGCCACTGTCACGTAAGATGTGGTTTTGTAATGTCCAAGATTGGGCCCTCGAGGCTACAAATGTGTAGGATGAAACCTCGTATGCTGAGTACAAACCCAAACCACCGAAACAAATTGTGACAACCCAAGTTGTCCCGTTACATTTCTCCGTTACCGTTAACGGAATTTTCCACTGTTCAAAAGTTCCGTTAATAAGAAGCCGTCAAATTTATTAAACATTTCAATTGTGTATGTTTACATGTCGTTAAGTCGTGAAAAAGGAAATAAAACACAGGACACACATTTTCATTCATTTGGAAAATGTCAAGTTTTATTATTACGACCACTAAATCGGGTGCGACCTAAAGCCCCGTTTAACGGCAGTATCGGGTAGAATTTCACTGTGCCCCGACTCAAAACCCTATATAAGGGTGAGTGGAGTCTATTGGAGACTTTTTACACTCTCTCTCTATACTCTCTCTCTAGACCCGTTTTCGCCCCGAATCCGCAACCAAACGCTTCCAAATTGTAATTCCGCTTACCCTAGCTTATTCTAAACATAGTGATTTATGTTTATAGCCCAAAAATCATCCAAGAAGGCATGGAATAAGGAGTTTACGGCCCAGGAACACTCTAGGGCCGTAAACCCCTAAAATGGTGCCAAACATGCCTCTAAACTTGTCCATAAGCTTGGGAATAATTAGGGGATATAGCCTAGGGGTGTTTAAACACTAAAATGCATGGAACTAGGACTCAAAGAAGAGTTTACGGCCCAAGCACATGCTTAGGCCGTAAACTCCCCAAGTCATGGTCCCAAATGCACTCCAAACTCATCCTAGGGCTTATTACATAATTTAGGGACTTATCCTCTTGAGTTTAGACACTTGAAACACTCCAAAATGATTTAAAGAAAGGAGTTTACGGCCCAGACAAAGGTCAAGGCCGTAAACACCCTAAATCATGCCCAAAAGTTAGTTTTTGTCCCCCAAATGACCATAGGCTATCTCTATAAAATGTTAGGAAGGATCTAAGGGCTTAAACACAAGGAAAATGAGGGATTTCTTGGAGTTTACGGCCCAAGCATTTATCTAGGCCGTAAACTCCCCAAAACCCCCTCAAATGTTGGTTTTAATCACCCAAAATAGCATCAAACTTCATAAGAAAATTCTAGGAAGGCAATAGGGGCTTAAAACTTCACTAAACTCAAAGGTTGAGAGTTTACGGCCGTAAACTCCCTTGGGAGAGTTCCTAGGCCGTAAACTCTTGTTTAGTACCCTTAAGGCCTCAATTCCACTCATGCCCTTTAGGAAAAATGCTTAGAATAATTCAATGAACAAGCTAGAAGCATCAAACACCCAAGAATAGAACCTTGGGAGTTTACGGCCGTAAACTCCCTTAGGTTGGGCCGTAAACTCCTTGTTTGGTCCATGTTGGTGTTTTAAATCCATTTACACACTTGATATGTGAGTATAGCAAAGTCCCACAACTGATAAGAGACCCTTAGCACCCGTAAACGCTACCCGGGACCCCAAACACTCAACCAAAAGTGTTTTTCCACTCCTTTGAGTGTGTATAATTGTTTAATTAGTATATTATATGCTAATTGTATGTGAACATATGTTATCATATGTTAAAATAGGTCCTTGTGTGTGTTCAAGTCCTTGCGTGACCCCGAACGCCCAATCGACACTCTCGTCGGACCTACTTACACCAGGTGAGTTCATACCCCTGAATGAACCTTTTAAATGCTTTTAAATGTTTTATAGGGGGGAATACAAGTTAAACATGCCAGTTATCATGTCAATCACATGTGATTGATAACCCGCATGCACAAGATTTAACCACTTTACACTGTTTTACCGAGTGGGACACTATAATGATTTTTACTTATTTCATAACTTTTACTTATACTGATTTATTCAAATTCATCCTAAATTGGTTTATGAAAGATCCTCTAAGGTTTTAAACGTATTTTACAAAGGAATACAATTTGTGATTTTCTCTGTACATAAAGGCTTTTCATTAAAGATTTCCCTTTTTGACGTATACTTTTACTTGTTAAACACTGCTGCTTCACTTATACTTATTTTGTACTCTGACTCGGTAACACTTTCACTTATACCTATAGTCGCTTATACTTGATGACGCTTATACTTATTCACGCTCTTACTTAGTGATACGATTTCTCCTTCACTTATACTGGATAACGACTTTACTCCACTTATACTTGATAGACGTTCTTACATCACTTATTGTCGTCTCTGCTTCGTGATACACTTATACTTGGTACGCTTATACTTCATGGTTCGATTATCCCACACTGTACACGTATACTTCACGACTCGGATGTTCCACTGTACTCTTATACTTCACGACTCAGATGTTCCACTGTACACTTATACTTCACGACTCAGATGTTCCACTGTACACTTATACTTCACGACTCAGATGTTCCACTGTACTCTTATACTTCACGACTCAGATGTTCCACTGTACACTTATACTTCACGACTCAGATGTTCCACTGTACACTTATACTTCACTGTATGATACACACTCAAGCGTAGTTAGATGTATGTTTATGCTTGTATAGATGCATATAAATAATGATTGAAGGACTTAGGAAGGCTTGTCCGCCCTATTTCCTTTTCTTCGTTGAGATGTGGTCTGGTGGGATCGGATGTCCATCTGAAGGTCGTTCGATTCATTAGTTATATATTATGTATACGAGCATAGACATACGAGTTTTCTTCAGTCTGTTAAGAGTCTCTACCTCTAGTCTACACTTACATTAGAAACCCACTCCCTCTTAGTAACACACTATCCTCTATTTGGGATGCATCTTCGGGACGCGGCCTTCTCCGTCGTCTAGTTGGTAACCAGAGTCTCCTGTAGGGAGAGCGGACATTGTGTGTATAGGCCTATACGGGATTGACAACCCCGCACCCTGACTGCTAGCTACAGTCCACGGCCTACCAAGCCAAGGGGTGACAAATGTCACAATATATAGATGCTTGTAGGGCGTCTAGTACTCTAGTCAGTATGGTTACGAGTATCCTGGGTTGCCTTATAATTCATGGCTTTAAGGTAACGGTATTTCGTCAGCAATTTACACTGTATGCTGATGTCACCTTTTTCAGAGTCACACTGTTTGACCTTGCTAGACGTGTCTTTCATGTGATACTGTCTGCGGTCTGTAGTCACTGTTTTGACCTTGCGAGATGTA